GTAATATGCTGCTTCTTATGCTGATGGTATTAGGGCCTGGAGAATTGAATGTCGCCAAGGTGTGAACTGTTACAATTAGTGTGATTTCTGACTTTGTAGGTGATGCGGTTACTCCACCTTCTGTTAAACTGGGAGAAAAACGCTACATGTTTGGCACGAATATCTGCCGCTCGGTTCCCTTCACTGCGAAGATGTGGGTGCCCACAGTCAACTTTCCCAAACTGAAGGTAGGATCTCTGCCTACGTTTTAAGCACTTGTTGAATCAGTTACCGTTATGCACATTAGCGAGCTGTAATGCGGGCATATGACAATCGCAAAATGAACCATTATGGGCAGCCTTATGCATGGCAGGTGTGTGTTGGCATGTCCTTCAAAGTGTCCTACAAAGTGCCATGTTTCCTTTTGCTGAAACAACCCAATTATAGGGCTACATAGGAGGTCACACGTGTTTACTGGCCCGATTCGCGAAACAGTGGTACTTTGTGCCCTGACGAGCTCTTCCCAGTGATCGTGTTGGTGTTTCTGCATGCACGAAGATACCCACTTCTCTCTATATAATGGACGATAAGCCACCAGCTAGCTAGAACTCACCTTTTACTGTTGTCTTAACAAGCTGACTGACGTAGTCATTCGCCCTCTCATTTCACTCGCCGGCGGTCAGCTCGTCTGAGCTGCTTGTCTAACCGTCGAGTGAGGTGCTATATTAAGAGGCGTATGCCAACATTTTTGTAGCTGCTCGTCCTGGAGCTTGATGATGCAGCCTTCGAGAGTGCCGACGGAAGACCGGAAAATGCGGGCTTCCACAACCAATCGTACCCAGGAGACAGGTACCCGCCATCAGGACTGTGGTCATTGGGTCCCTGCATCCTACCTTCTGTTAGCGGTAACAAACCTCTATACGTTTCTCTGCCTTACTTTAACAAAGCCGCGGACGAAGTAAGAGACGCCATCATTTTCGAGGACGGCATTGAACCTGGTGCAATTTCCCAACTCAAAGTGGATCCGGTAAAGTCACTTTCCTCTCCCTAAGACCTGTCCCTAACTGCCATCGTAGAAAAAAATGCTTATATTAAGATAGAAAAAGGAGTAGTTTCTTTAGTCTAAGGTATCATGGTGTTCACGCCAATATTGGTACGAGTATTTGAATCGTGTGAAGGTGGTACTCCTGCAGACACTTTAACAAACTGTCAAAAATCTGTTTGGCTTTGCGCTTGGCCCAGCCTCGCGAATTTTTTTCCACTTTTCGGATTTTCAAATACACGGTGAAAATTTGTGCGCAAGACGTGGGTTTTGCTCCTGTGCACGGCTGAGTGTCCTCACAGCAGTGGAACACTGCACAAACCCACATCGTGTTAGCCATCTGACAAGGGAATTACGACCTCTTCTCAGTGTTGTTCTTCTTATTCTTTAGAAAACGGGATTCATTATTGAAGGAACACTCCAGTACCAAGTTAATTTACTTGTTCCTAAATCGTAAGTGATGTATTTGCATGGTAATTATCTCAATTTCGGGATGCTTGCACAAATTTGATCCATTAAGTGAATGCAGCTTTTTAATATTATTTAATGTGCATTGTATGCTTCGTGGTTATTGCATGTGTTGGTGGGAATTTTGCAACATGAAACAACAAATGGGGACATTGTCATAATGAGCTTTACATGCAGCGGAATTGCTGGTTGAATGAATCTAGCCCGTTTCTATTCTGGTGATAATGAAACATACACTTACATCCTTTGGCTGTTGCATTGGTTCTCTTTCATAAGGTTTAGGATCTCAAAGCCCACTTGTAAATAAGTGCCTCTTGATGCATCGCTGATTGGCGAGGAATGCAATGTAGCTTAGATAAGTACAGGACAATTGGATAATTGGACACCAAACTTGACTCTACGTTTCAAATTAAGCATGTAGTCTGTTAGAATACATGCACCCTTATTTTATCAACACGAGAACCGCATGTCTACAGGCCCACGTTCTGAGTCAACTGATTCAGCGAGCAAACGCTCGACCGCATTCATTTGGACCTGTCAGGTGTGAGAGCTGTTTTGGTGTCAGCTGGTCTGGGTGTACATGGATTCCTCTATTTATCACCATCTATGTTCGCAAGAAAATACACTTCCACTATGTGGGAAGTGAAACCAGATGAAAAATATTACGCAGTTAATGACAACAATTAAGCTAGCCACCAATTATTTGGTCAATCATAATAACGATTTGCTTACCTGTCCTTCGTGTTGCTATTTCTTCATTGTTCTGTGCTCTAATCATCCACATGGTTTTTATTTACTAGGCAATATGGTGCAGCGAATGACACGATGTATCCCCTGGCACTTATCCAAGAAGTGAGTACTCGCCTGGTACCTACTTGCCTTCATTGTGCCTGGCATGCCATTTACGCTACCACGTTGCTTTTCAGAGATTTGATGCGTATGCTAAAGGGTAACGCTTTGTTTGTTGTGGTGCTGAGCTGAGCTTTTCGGCATTTTAACTGGGCTTTTCTCACATTATGTTTTCTCATCTTCCTCACAGTTCAAAGCAGCGAGCAGGGAGGATGCAGAGAACCTCTACAATACGGCCTACGCATTTCCACAGATGATTCGCATGGTAGTAAGGGTGCTTTTTAGCATTCTTACTGTTCTAGCTTTCTCGCTACTACTGGCCACTGTCATTCGGAAATACTTGGACTACAGAGCGGCGAAAGAGATTGATGAAGATAAAGTGACTGCCGTCGAATTCAACGAAGATGACAGCATTTCGGATAAATCAATGAACATTTGAGTTTTCTGTACTTATGTATTTGCATCCTCCACTACTCATAACAAATTAGTTTTCAAAGGGATTTTTCTGCTCAGGTCAAAAGATGGCTGCATCAATCTCAGGTAATCGGCTGGGAAATAAGTATAAGTAAAAATAATATTGCTGATAATTACCGAAGATTGATTTCAAGGGAGCAAAACCAAAATCGGTGTAAATTCTGCAGGCCCTTACTCAAACGCAGAAAAAGCCTCACTTTTGACATTTTGCAAATGGTGTTCTGCGCAATTATCCACGTTGGGACCAAAGTAGTGGTGGTTTTCTATCAAACGTCTTGGAGTTCCTTCACCATGGGAAATTTTTTGCAGCACCGCATAATTATGAAAGCAGTTGCCGTGTCATTAGTTTCTGAATAACCTAGAGAAATTGCGCCTAGTGAATATTTTGGTTCTCTTCATCACACTCTACTTGGGCCTTCATAAGCCTGCGTCATTTTGACGAAGATAGGCACTACGTTTCAGGTAGCACATGCCAGTGACTAACTCTTGCCTACGATGTGACATAATTTCGTCTAATGCGACCTGAACAAATCACTTGGTTGTAAGTACTGACTTGGTGTTTTGTCCAATGAATCTTCCTTACAAAAAATTAAGGACATTTAGCAATTTGGAGTACATTAGCGCCAAACATTGTAATAATTTCACTTTTGAGATTCCGTACTGCTTTGCAGACCCTTGCATAACTGTAAACTCTTCCTTAATGATACTCTAATTCTCAAACTTGCATTAATATTATCAATTCAAAACCCACAATACATTTAAGGCTAAACAATTTTAATGTTGAAACTCAGTTAACAATAATTGGTCATGGTGATTTCTGAGTGTAGACCGCTTTGTTCCAGTGTACAAATTATCGCTGTTGGAAAACACACCTTTATTTATATCCTTCTATTCGATAAGCGTCAATCTTCCCAAATCATGCTTAATGGCCACCCAAGCTTTTATGATTTGTAGTTCTAAAAAAATTCTTGTCTTTGGTTGGCTGGCTACCTTCGCATTAGCCAATAAAACATACACACAAAAGATTGGCTAATATAAAGTCGTGATCCTGAATGGCAGCGGCCTAAACTGGTTTTACATGTGCGCGTTATTTGGGTCCCTTGGTATAACTGGCGCGTTTGGTTGCTTAAGGGTACCATGTCATTTTTTATCAGGCGCATTCGTACCACAAACATTGCAGCGTGCAGTAATTGTGTATAAAATCTCGGGAGTTGATAATGAGAGTGAAGCAAGTCGTACAGCCTTTGCTCTGAACCAAACGTAAGGAAACGATTCTGACTATTGGCGAAATGCAGAAATTGCAACAGACAGCTAAATGGTCATGAAAACCAGTGTCGCATCGTAGATGAGCTCATTCATTACTTCAAGTAAGTTGCACTAATTTGGGTCGTTAGTTTCTATTTTCGTATTTGGTGCAATCAATTGCTTTTTAACGATAAATTGAAACTTGAAAGTTTCACTTCACTAGGTGCACTCATTAGTCTTTAGCTGATACCATACTTGTAGGTTAGTATTTGGATATTATGATCCACCTGCTACCAGAAACTTATTAATGCTCCTCTGTCAATTTGGCCTTCATTGATTTTGCGTTGACTTTGCAATCATAAGTGGAAATTGATAGTAATTAAAACACCTCAAGTGTTTCCCAAGGAAGTATGGTGTTGAGGCGAGTGCTGTGAACAAAAAGGGCTACGACTTCGCATATGCCAAGTGCTCGGACATAGTAGTTTCGGTTGGTGGCGATGGCACGTTTCTCAGTGCCGCCCTGAAAATCCTCGAAAACCACAAACCGATCATTGGAATCAACAGCTGTCCCATCTCGTGAGTTACAGTTTTCGTTGTCCTGGAATTCTGTTCTAATTAGTAAATGCTTGCAAGTTTGGTTGCATACTTTGTCACAGAGCGTACAACGATGCAGGCGACATTACTGATCCCTCGTTGAATTGCATGTACACATCGGTGTTAATGGGGTATTAAAAGCATGTTTTTGCGTGGTTTTCCATCTGTTACTCCACCAAACATTATTGTTTGCAAGCAAAAGAATTCAGCGTGTTAAGTTCGAGTGAGCATATGTTCGTGAAGTGTGTGTAGTAGGTGTACTAGTTGCCTTAGGAAAATCAAATTTAACATGCTAATCAGGAGCCTTAACCTTTTGGCAGCGATATTTCTTTAGCCAAACGCATTGTCTTACATGTTGGCGTTTAGTCAAATTGACTGTGACCTCACAAAGTGCTGCACTTCGTGTTGTTTCATTTTCGTAATTTTCCACTTCAGCTCTGAAGGCAGCCTCTGTTTGCCTCGTCATTGGCACACCAATATTTCGACAATTGTGGATAGGATAATGACCGGAAAATTCAAGTGAGTTTCGTCTGGAAACACTAAATTATATTGTTAATATTATTTCTCGATTCGCAATTCACTAATTTGATTGCAAACAATCAGGTCACTGATTCTGTCTGGCTTCCAGGTGACTTTTAGACCTGACCTTGTAGCTGGTAAGTAAGTGTTAGTTTAATTATAACTTGTTAATTTGTTAGCGGCACGTTAGTCTGATGGTTTTGCCGTATCATCGTTTTTCCTACATCCAAAATGCTGTGTCTGTGTAAAGAGGTAAGGTTACTCATGGACTGCCGTAGACTTGTGAATCACTTTGGCCATCTAGTTTTGCTAATTGATTCGTACAAATCATTCCTGGAAATGTGTGTTCTCCAGTGTAAGCAAGCTAGTATCCTTAAATTCAATCGTAAGCCCGCTAATTTCAAATGGAAGGCTTGTTTTCTTTTGGCAAACGGCTATATTTACCACATTATTGTACTGAAATGGACACATTGTGTAATTTCAAGTGTTCCCGTCTTGCACTGCCTTTCCGTTGCCATTGACGCCATGTCGCAAAACCTGCTACAGTTACGTTCCACGGAGACTCAATTTTGTACACTTCGCTTGTTCAGGGTTTTACGTCGCCAGAGAATTCGTCTGCGTGTATCAACACCACCAGATCAACTTACTCATCTTGACGAAATCTTCCCTCGACATCTTGATTCTCAGGGCTCAGTATCACACTTGCACCCCGTAGCAGGTCCTAAGACTGAAACTACTACTGCGACTTCGTCTTCCACGATGTACTTACTTCCAGTCAGGGCACTTAACGAGGTCTTCATTAGTGCCTGTATGAGTGCAAGGCAAGTTCCTTCCACTTAGCCATTTCGTGGGTGGTAGTGTCGGTCCTTGTACAAAATAACCTATATTTGGGCGTTTTGTGCTGTTCCCACGTGTAATGTTGAACGCCAGATCGTTCTCATTAGTTTTCAATGTTCAAAGTTAACCAGCGTCATGGGCTATAGACAGTGGATGTGAACTGTGAATTTTCATCAAACTGCCTTCCGGGACCTGCTCCATCGTGGACTGGGCCATTAGTCACCACACAGGACCTGCGAACACGTGTTAGTGAAACCTCAAAAGTTGACTTGGCTGTTGAAATGCAGTATCATCCTTCATTGTCACCCTTTAAATGATTGGAATATGCAATTTACTTCTCATACTTTTATGGATATGAGGGCACGTAGTAATTTGGCTTGTGTTACCACACCTTAATAACTCCTTTAAAGTTAAGTTCTTTGAATTTTTTTCCCCGATAATTCCAACTGTGTTGCTACTAGGTAATTATAGGTTCACAGACAAACATTACCTAAACATTTTATTACTCTGCCCTTTATTGGATTGGGTTAATTGAAAGTGATACCACGTGTCTTTTTGCCCTCAAATGCTTCGCGTTATTTTCCTACATCATTTGAAAAACGAGGAGGCAAATGCATAGGAAAGCTAATTCAAATGCCTACTAACGCCCTATACAGAGTGTCAGAATACCTCATCTCACTGGACGACGGGCCACAAGCGCGCCAGAAGTCGAGCGGCCTACTGGTCTGCACCGGGACCGGGTCCTCCTCGTGGTACTCCAGCATGAACCAGGTGGACGCTTCCCTTGTCTCGCAGCTGCTCTCACTGGCCGGCGAGAAGCGAACTCCTGACGATGTGGCGTCCATTGTTGAGCGCTTCAACCGTGGCCTCCTCTTTGATGCCGCCTCCCCCAACATGGCCTACTCCGTCAGAGAGGTTGTCAAAAATCGTAAGCTCCTGTGTGTGCTTACTTTTGTCCACACTTGCGCGCCCCAGGACACTTTTTGTGTACAGTGTTTGCAGAATAACGGGAAAACAGTGGTTCTGATACTGGTGTTCGTAATCGTCCATGGAGCCCTTTTGGGACCGAAAACAAACCGTTGTACCACGTCACTGCATCCAAACACTTGCCACCGCTAGTTTTCCAATTAATCAGGCACCTCAGGAACCAAAGGACGCAATTTTCCTCCTTCAAATTCATGCATGCTAGCTCCAGTTATTATAGGTAACTGGAACTTTCTGACTAGCATCAGAACCTGTCGACCCCTTTCACTGAGTATGTCAAAAGTAAACCACATGTCCTGCTAATTTCTCCGCGATCTTTAACATCTGGATGGTCCCATGCGTCCACGACACGATAGTATGTGGACCTTGGCGCTACGTGGGCTTTCGAAGTAGTGTTGAGGAGAGCCTTAGTCCGGCGTTGATTTCGCCGATCTTTCACAGCCTCTATTTTCTTCCGTAGTTTGTCAAAGCAAAAAGGCTCAACATTTTGCCAATATAGGTCCAATTTCGCTACTCTTGCTTGCGTGCCTTGGAAGCTTGTTGATTAATTTTATACTCTGCTTCCTTCGTAGGCCATTATTCCAACGACCTCCTAGTTTTCAGGAAAAAAATTTCGCCTTTAGTGTTTCCCAAATGTGTGGGATTACTTGGTTCCAACTGAGCTGTGCAATGCATTTGGTTAATTGTGCTGCTTGACGATTTCATTATCCCCGAGTTGCAGCCGCGGATTCGGCTCCGGGGTGGTGAGTTAGGGTGCATGGACAACCACCAAGACCATAAATTGCCGAAAGCTGATTAAAAGAACTTACCGTCGTAGTGGCGTCTAAAAATTTCACCCATTTTTCTTCTTGCAGACGTTTTCAAGTTCGATTCCCCCCGTGGCTTTGCAAAAAAGTAAGTTCAATAACATAACTGACTGTGTCTTGGGGGCTGTTTGAGGAATCTCCATTTGGAGTGAGTTGAATAAACGGTTATGCTGTCTGATGTGCACTACTTTTAAACTAGCGGTTGAAGCTGCTGCATGGTTGGTTGGTTGGTTGGTGTCTTGGAGCTCTTGCGGTCCAACGTAAACAACCGTAACGATGTTGTTTGTGTACTGAATTTCCGGTACGCGATTTTGGTCCAAACAGTTACCGCAAGCTCCTTGCTCCGGCAATTTATTCCTGTGTTCGTTCTAGGTCGTTTTTCAGAAAAGATCACTGCCAAAATTTTCAAGTAATCAATTGCGCAGTAAAGGGTTTCCAAGGTTTTTTTATCGGCTGTTGTCAGACCAACTCTTACGTCATTGGGTGGTTTCATCTGTGAAGATGAGCCTTCTGATTCTTTTTACTTGGTCTTGAGGTGTTTTAAGCGTTTTACTCAAAACACCATCCAAGTGTGCCAAAGTTCCCTACTTTTTTAACATTTCCACATTCTCCCTATGTTTAGTGCTCTGTGATGGGGAAATTTCGATCCTCGGAATCCCCACTCCCGAAATGCACCCAACTAAGTCCGTGAAATGATTATTCTCTCTCCTCTTTAGAATCAGACTGATCTCTTGCATGAATGACGCATACTTGTCGATTGACGGTTGGTTATCGATACCTTTCGAGAATGGTGCCTGCGTGGAACTCTCAATTGATCCCGAGGATGCACTCAGTGTCATAGACTTTCCTGATAGTACTTGAATTTTATTTACTTTGGCGTGTAATTCGACAGTTCTCGCATACTTTTTATTCACCACCGTTGGTCTAGGGGGGGGGCAAAGTGGAGGTGGTAGCTATTGGAATAACTTTAACTAAACTGCTGAAGACTCAATTTCACTGTCGCACTAGCAATTTAAGTGCAGATCAATCCACTCAAACTTCTTATCCATATGGCCCTAGCTGTGGATGGTGTGTGGTCACGATATCGCTTCATTGTAGCAGATCAAAAACGTGATTCCCTGGGGTCCAACGCCCTCAATGACGCTCTTGTTGCGTCACGAGATGGCCCGGAGGTGGATAAGGACATCAAAGAGGGTGGAGTTTCAATTGTTTACTAAGCCGGTGAAGCTGGAGTTCTGGGTCATGTTTGTGCGTGTACATTAATGGTTCATAAGCGTAAACTGTGTACAATTGATGTGCTAATGAGGTGAACTAGCATGGTTTGGATTATCACACGTAGTGATAATCCGGGATAAACATTTGAGTAGCAGATTGGGAGAGGACACGGAAAGATAGTGCTTGTATGTCACGTTCTCGAATCTAGCTCTGTACGACTGTGGGTCGGTGCATGAGTCAAGTTTGCCCGGTGGGTCAAATTTATGCTCTGAAACAGGATGATTCCTGTTCCGAGGTCCTCGTACATTTTTAGTTTTAACAATTTGTGATTCATAGCTTTCACGTCCATGACAAAAGGCAAGTGATTTTTGTTATACTTATAATGCTTTATAAATCAGATAAAGTATTGTCAATTGCAGGAGATGGAGAACAAACTAGAAGCTGGGAGAGGTTCACGTGGCTAGATTTGAGTTCATGACGATTAGTTAGCCTTCGTGAACCTCTTCTGAGGTAGTAAATGTTTTTTTCTAGACACAGGGGAAGGTGTCATGGCAGAAACCTTAAGAACTTATATCCAGGTGTTGTTAGTCGATCTTTTGACAAGATAGTTGGCATTGCTGTTGACAATGACCTCGGTAGAAATCGCTGTTTGCGAGCCAGCCCCATGACATCAGGCGGTCGCTAACGTGAGAACCGAAATGAATAGCCTTGGTAATTTTCCGGTTTTACGAGTAAAATACAAATTAAATGATGATTGTAAAAAGAAGTCTCTAGAATGGCATGCGAATATCTTCGAAGATGAAAATTTTCCGCATCTTATTTGTGGAACAGGTTAAAGGCACTTGCTATTTGGAGATAAACGTTACGGGAAAAATTCCTTCTACTTTAAGTTTGACATGGTGAAATATAAAGAAATCCGCTTTGTCATAACTACGGAGTTACTCTCGTAGGGGTCACCAATTTGTTGAGACGCCATATATCACTAATTAGCCAACAAAGATGAAGTCGGTGGAAGGACAGAGTCAATCGTTTATTCGAGACTTGTCGAAGCCGTGGTGGTATGTGGGGTTTGTGCGTGTGTATTTATAGTTCGGATGTGTGAGTCATAACTGCACTAACATCGAGACCTAGGTGTGAAGTTAATCCAAGTTAAATATTCATGTGAATGAAGGGGGAGTTGAGGATTTGCGCTGCTGGCACCATGCTGCGAAAAAGGGGAGTCGGAGGTGAAGCGATCGGATTAAGGGGTTAAATAAACACGATTCACAACACTCCTTGTTTCACGTATCTGGTCATTCAGTCATTAGTAATTTAACCGACCAACTCAAATTATATTAGTCAATAATTAAATTTCTAATGCAAAAATATGGATACCCGTACAAAACAACTCAAGTTGGTTAGAGCTAATTTAAAAACGGTTGTCTCCGCCGTATTCAGTCTTATTAGCATCAGAGTATTTGTGTAGCATTATCAATGCTAATATAACTCACAGGCCTCGTCGTGATTCAAAACGACTTGCTAGGGCCTACAGTAGAACCACCAAGATCAATGCTTCATGATAATCCTAATTGTATTTGTCAGTTTACAGCAAAATTCGATGTCCACTATATAGCAGCGACCTTCATAAATGGTAATTGTATGAATGCGTTTGATCATATCCAAGAATACGGTATCTGGTATTTGAAAAACTTACTATTTTGTCTAAGTAGGCCCAAATAGTTTGACTACTAGGTGTCCATTAAGTGTAGATTTTCAATTATTGAATTTAAATCGAAATAGGAACAAAAAGTTACTATTTAAAAAATTCCACTCCCTTGAAATGTTTAAAAATACTGCATTTTCATAGCCAATCAATCACTGATTAAACTTCACTTTTTCCTCGGGAATGCTTAATTGAACAAAGCAATCTGGGAAGCCAATCCCGGATATACAATTTGTTTCATGAAAGCTACTAAATCCAAATTAAGTTTATTTTTTACACTTGGTGAACTATATCTAGAGATGAGCTTGTGTTTCTTACCATCACAAATCGTGTTTTACCTTAATTTGAATTACTTAGTTTAAGGGACCCATGAAAAATATTTCTAATATAATGATATCTTGATGAACATCAATATGTAAACAACTTACATAAAGGCTCTCCAAAGAATAGCAGTTATTAACCTGTGCTTACCTTAGGCATTTTATTTTAAGGCTGTTTTTATACTGTATTTGCTATTGTGAGGTTTCTTAACTTATAGGGTAATAACGACAAAATACGAAATCAAAATTTTTTTTTTAATTTAAAAAAATTAGAGACATATAGCTGTGCATGTACATTTGCAGTCAAAAAAAATTAAAAAAGACCTAATTTTGTTTTACATTTTTAATGCTTATTTATTTCTTTTTACCGGCTTTTTAAACTTGCTTTCCGTTAAGAATCCCTCGCTAGCAAAAAGAGCCTATGGGACTAATTAGTAGAAAATGACACTTTTAAGGTGCGAGTTTTTGATGAATATTATTTGATGCTGGATTTACTCTAAAGCTTGTTAATATAAATGAACACAGTGCATGCGATTTGAAAGTTATATTGGAAGGAATGCACTTAAATTAAGAATAGTGCTGTTCTCTGAAAATTGGTATTTAAAAATTGAAGATAACTTTGGGATGTGAATTATTCTGTTAGAGTTCTCTCCTAAGCATCGTATTTGTCAACATTTCCACAAATGTATTGCCATTCTTTCTTTTTTCGCACTAACTTTATCCATATTTTTTTCTTTGGAGTGTTTTAATATCGTTTTAGACGTCAAACGTGTCTATTCGGTATTTCTCAGATTTAATAAGTAAAATAAAATGTACATTTAGTTTGTTGCCAGTCAAATGTCAGTCAAATCATTATTTTTTGTTGTAGTTGTTCTCATGCTTTTTTTAAAATCTTGTTCCTGTTTCGTTGATTGCTGTAACTCTAGTACTTGATATGAATAAATTTATAGCAGGTCTAGTAATATACATGACTGGTTATTAGAGCTACAATATATATA